GATTCTATGATTCTATGATTCTATGAAATCCATCAACTTAATGAAAAAACTCGCACAGATACAGACAGACATCATCTTCCTCTCCAAGTGCAAACAGATGGACATCATACCAGATGGACTGAAGGCAAAAGATCCATTGCAATCGACATACTACATGGACTGTGGTGAGAGATTGTGCCACATACTCTCAAAGAAACTGAGGAACCACCTGATCAGCATTCTGTACAGCAACCAGGAGAAGATCAAGAATGAGCTCTCAAAACTGGAGACTCTCATACAAAAGACCACCATGGATGTAAAAGATCTTTACACCAATATTCCACACGAGGATGGACTACAAGCTGTCAGGAACAGTATCCCTGATGAGGCCATGGCATACCTTGTGGCTGAGCTTTGTGACTTTGTCCTCACCCACAACCATTTCAGATTTGGGGACAACTTATGCCTTCAAGTCAGTGGCACTGTTACGTGTACCCACACGGCCCCACAGTCTGCCAACATTTTTATTGCTGACTTAGAACAACACTTCCTCAGCTCTCGTCCCGTAGCGCCCCTCCTCTACTTGCGCTACATTGATGACATCTTCATCATATGGACCCACGGGAAGGAGGCCCTTGAAGAATTCACCCGGATTTCAACAATTTCCACCCCACCATCTACCTCAGCCTGTACCAGTCTACACAAGAGATCCACTTCTTGGACTCTACAGTGCAAATAAGTGATGGTCACATAAACACCACCCTATACTGGAAATCTACTGGCCGCTATACTTACCTACGTGCCTCCAGCTTCCATCCAGGACATATCACATGATCCATTGTCTACAGCCAAACCTTAAGATACAACCGCATTTGCTCCAATCCCTCAGACAGAGACAAACACCTACAAGATCTTTATCAAGCATTCTTAAAACTACAATATCCACCTGAGGAAATAAGGAAACAGAGTGACAGAGTGAGGCAGGTACCCAGAAATCACCTACAACAGGACAGGCCCAACAAGGAAAATAACAGAACATCACGTACAGCCCCCAGCTCTCCAGCACATCATCAACTATCTACAACCAATCCTGGAAAATGATCCCTCACTCTCACAGACCTTGGGAGACAGGCCAGTCCTTGCTTACAGACAGCCCCCCAACCTGAAGAAGCAAATACTCACCAGCAACTACACACCACACCACAGAAACACTAACCCAGGAACCAATCCCTGTAACAAACCGCGTTGCCTATTCTGTCCCCATATCTACTCTAGCGACACCATCAGAGGACCCAACCACATCAGCCACACCACCTGCACATCTACTAATGTGATATATGCCATCATGTGCCAGCAATGCCCCTCTACCATGTACATTGGCTAAACCGGACAGTCTCTACATAAAAGAATAAATAGACACAAATCAGACATCAGGAATGGTAACATAGAAAAGCCAGTAGGAGAACACTTCAATCTCCCTAGACATTCAATAACAGATTTAAAAGTAGCCATCCTTCAACAAAAAAACTTCAAAAACAGACTTCAAAGAGAAACTGCAGAGCTACAATTCATTTGCAAACTTAATATCATTAATTTGGGTTTGAATAGGGACTGGGCGTGGCTGGCTCACTACAAAAGCAATTTTCTGTCTGTTGGTATTGACACTTCCTCATCAATTACTGGGAGTGTACCACATCCACCCTGACTGAATTGGCCTTGTCCACACTGGTTCTCCACTTGTAAGGTAACTCCCTTCTCTTCATGTGTCAGTATATCTATGCCTGTATCTGTAATTTTCACTCCCTGCATCTGAAGAAGTGGGTTTTTTACCCACGAAAGCTTATGCCCAAATAAATCTGTTAGTCTTTACGCTGCCACCGGACTCCTCGTTGTTTTTGTGGATACAGACTAACACGGCTACCCCTCTGATACATGGTCATCAACAGTAATTTATTTTTCAGTTTATAAAATGAACTTATTGGCATATCAAAGTGTATGCACAAAAATAAAATCCCATGCGTTACAGCCTAGTGTGACATAATGTCATCTCAATCTCCAATTTAAAAGAAGTTAATTATACTTGGTGTAGTTTGCCAGCCTTGTGACTTCCATGTCTGCATTTCTAGTGAGAGAGGTACTGTTAATGACAATCTCTTTCCCTTCATGTGTTAAAACAAATTAAAAGGTATCAGACCTGTGAAGTAACAGCAATGAAACTAAAACAGGTTACCTTTACTGTTTAGCTGTTCTGTGTGTTGCAATGCTCAGCAACATCACAGCCTTTCAAAGAGGATGGCAAAGTTTCTGCAAAGTGAAGGATAGAAGAGATGATGGGATACAGGGAAAGCAGGGCTGTCACTTGCATCTCACCCCATGTAAATCTGAAATGAATTAAAGTAAATAAATAGTGTTGGTGTTTTTAAATCCTCTGCTAGGTGCCTTTGCTACCATCTGCTGGGTTCCAGTGCCACAGGTGACCTTTGCTTCTATCACTCAAAGTGAAAGTGGTGTTCAAAACCTCAGAATGGATCAGTACAATTCCAGGGGGCACAAGGAGAATCACCCTTGGGTCTAGTTCTGCTGGGTGAATTCCACTGTTAGGTGGTACTTAGGTTATCTTGCAAAATTAGAATGCGAGAGTTGAACAGCCATTTTTTTGGAAGCATGGGCCTGCCTGTATTGGCCCATTTAAACTTGGTGATGGAATACGAGCCGTTAATCTTCTCCTTCTGTCCACCTGTAGGATGGCACTGAAGTGGTCGTTAAAGAAGTGCTGGCAGGGGATAGTGTTCACAGCCTCCTCAGCATTCTTGATGTTATCACAGTAAGTTCCTATGTGCGGGTGATTTTTCGGAGACCTTGCCATATATCAGTGCACCTGTCAGAGCTATGCAGCTTTGGCACATTAGCATTACATCTGTCATCTTGATTCTTTCCTGGCATCTCTTTGGGTAGTGCTCCTCTCCAGGTCCGGTGCAACCTATTAGGCGACGTAGGTGGTCGCCTAGGGCACTAGCATTTTCTTTGGTGGCGACCGTGGCGGCCGGATCTTTGGCCGCCCCGGTCGTCGTTGGCATTTAGGCGGAGGGAGCTGGGGCAGGGGGGCGCGGGGAGGGCCGCCTGCAGCAAGTAAGGTGGGGGGGGTGGCACACAGGGGAACTCCCTGCCCCAGCTCACCTCTGCTCCGCCTCCTCCCCTGAGCATGCCACCCCGCTCTGCTTCTCTCCCTTCCAGGCTTGCGGCACCAAACAGCTGATTGGCGCCGCAAGCCTGGGAGGCGGGAGAAGTGGAGCAGCGACGGCGTGCTCGGGGAGGAAGGCAGAGCAGAGGTGAGCTGGGGTGGGGATTTGCCGCACGGCTCCCCGGGGGGAGTGGGTGGGGAGTTGCTGTGGAGGGGGTGCCTCAGGGCGGAGGGGGGGGTGGGAGCTGCTGCGGGGCGGGGGGGCACCTCATGGCGGGGGCGGGGAGCTGCCGCAGGTCTCGGGGAGGGCGCAAGGTGGAAGTTTCACCTAGGGCGCTAAACATTCTTGCACCGGCCCTGCTCCTCTCACTAATTAACAAGGTACATGCCATAATTGAAAAGCTCTCTGAGTGTACATTTGAATTGACTGTTTACCTGTGATTATTTCCTCACATTTCAGCTGGTTGGCCTTTGAACCCCTCCCTGGGTTTCTTACTTCTAGTTTGTTTAAAGCAAACAGACTGAATTTTGTTTTTCTTTAAGATGTTTGGTTATGTTTCCAGCACTTTAACTCTGGGGGGAGGTAGCTATGGGACAGCTATTGACACCAGGAAGGCTCCCCGCTCCCCCACCACTGCTGTAAACTTAGTTCCATGGTATATCAGTGACTGGGGAAACATGCATTTCCCTATGTTGGAGGCTCAAATATGCCCAAGTTCTATATTGGCAACGTGTTGAAAGTTACGAGTACCTAATTGGCATGGAGCAAATAGCAGCTACCTTTATTTTTAATAAGAAGGGGTGGTCTGTGGAGATGACAAGTCCCAGCATGCAGTGCTCCATCTGTAGCAGAGCTGCTTTCTGTGTACGGCAAGCTGAATCATTGCATGCTGCATCCTGTAATACCAGCAGGGTGAGTGAATCCCACAAATGCTGAAGAAGGTGGTGGACATTGTCCTGGGCTCATGTAGCCCACAGGCTGCACTTTGACCACCCCATCCTCTCTTACACTTGCCATCATCAGTAGGACACCTGAATAAAACCCCACATCTTGCCATTTTAGGATGTGGGTGCTGTCTACTGTGTATGCATCCTGAAATACCTAGGAAGAGCACACATAGTACCAATGATTGTACTGTAGTTGCAGGCTGCTCGTAAGAAAACCTACAACTGGAATATAAATTGTTATTGCTATGTTAAATCAAAGACGTGTGGGGGATTATCATGAAGAATAAATAACCTGTTTTCTGAGACACATTTTTCTGGCTTAATACTTTTGTATTAGAGCTTTTTAGCTATGAGTGTGCTGGTTCAGAGTCCTCTGCTTTTTGGTTTGCTTGTTAAGACTGTGCTATTAAATTCCTTTTATTTGTAATTCATGCCAGTTTCCTGCTGTTTTCCATTCTCACTATGCTGTTTGCTGGATTTGACCAATCCACCAACTTTTGCCCATTCTGCATTGTTTAACATCAGGGTCATCTTGTGATTTGAGGTCTATTTTCTAGCCTTGACAGCATTGGTATGTTAATATTTATTATGTTTAATCTAGGGTTACCATATGTCCGGATTTTCCCAGACATGTCCGGTTTTTTGGGCTCCAAATCCCCGTCCGGGGGGAAATCCCAAAAAGCCGGACATGTCCGGGAAAATCGGGACATGCGGGGCCGGCCGTGCAGGTGCTCGGGGGCCA